TCAAATAAATAAATAAAATCTTTAAAAAAAATAAAAATAAAAACTGTCTTCTGGCTGTGATAGTTTTATCTTGCCCATAGAAGTATGGAACAGTGTTAATGCTGGTTGCATGATTCTCTTGTTTCTAGATAGATATGTCAAATTTCTGTTAAGATTCCTTCAGTCTGTTTTGAAAGACCAGTCTTTTTGAGTTTTTTTCCTTATTTCACAGAATTGTAATAATTATGAAAATGTCTTTGATATCTTTTTCATGGCTTGTCAGCACTTTCTTATATAGCGCAGACAATTACCTCTTAGGAAGGGAGGCCACTAAGACAGTCATCTCTTCTTAATATTTTCCTCCTTATTGTCCTGGGGCTTTATTAGATTTTTATGGACTATTCTCTCTGCTGTGACTATTTTAGAAGACTAATATATAAAAACAGAATTTAACATTTACTGAATACTTCTTATGTGTCAGGCATTGTTTTAAGTGCTTTACCCACTTATTCATTATCTCATTTAATCCCATCATCTACTTAAGAGGCAGATACTGTTATCTTCATTTTAAAACCTGAGGAAGCTGAGGCACAGATTAAGTAACTTGCCCAAAGTCACATTGCAAGTGGCAGCTTTAGGATTCAAACCTAGATCCCCTGTTCCAGGGCCTGTAACTGCTGGCCTAGTTAGTAAACTCGTATAAGGTTTGTTAAGGCGGGTGTAAATTTAAATAAGACGATAAAGCCAAATATTTCCTGAAAAAGTCACCATAACTAATCTGATTTTGCTTGCCTGTGGGAAGGAAAATTGGAAATCATGTATCTTCTTAAGTATGGGAAAAATGATGATGTTAGATGATTTTCCATAAATAATTATTTGTCTTGGATCATCCCTAAGTGAATACAGCCGTTTTGCTTCTTTACGAATCATTTGCAGTAGATAGAAAATCACTTGCACCTATCTAAGGACCAATATGTATGTGTTTAAAAGGGGCTAGAATGAGTTGATTTGTAGATTGCCATTTAGCTGCTATTTGTAGAAACGGGCTCTCAGAAAGACTGAACTGTGCAGCAGTTCGGAACTGATTAGTGATTGGAAATTGTTATTTTGTCCTGTTAAATAATATTTGAATGACAGCAGAAAGTTATGCAAGGAAAGGAAAGGCAGGAGAAAGGTGACTTATGGGTCTTATAATGAGAATGTCCCTTAGAAGTAATGGTCTAAAAAGTCAATGTACATTAACAATCGACACTTGTCTAGGAACTGGAAGGAGTTATAGTACATGGTTTTTGTTCTGGGCTATGTCTTGTCAGAGAAGCATTGGCTTTTTTTCCCTTCACATAGCAATTCATTCCCCATTGAAATATGGTAAAGTACAAAGGGTAAGCAACATTTAAAATAACAACACTGATAAAATGTTTTGGCTTTCTTTAAAGTATGACCACACGTGGTCAGCGATGTTTTCCTCTCTCCTCTCCATCTTTTTAAACTCCCATTTCCTGTTTGAGAATCCCTTCTAAGTGTTGATCAAAATTATGGCTTTAAGCATGCATCTCTTTTACAACAGTGTCTTAAAGAGTGGCTCAGGGACTCCTGAGATTCTTTCAGGAGTCACAACTATGTTCATAACAATACTAAAACATTATTTGGTTATGGGTATGTAGCGGAGTTTTCCAAAGGCTCCATGATGTGTAACCAAGTGAATACAGAAACAGGAGAATCTAGCTGTCTTCTTTAATCCAGACATTGAAAAGATTTGCAGAAACGTAAGGCCACTCTTCTCTAGATTTGCTGAGAAGCACTAAGGTTTGTTTCTATGTTAAAATGTAACAGTGGCCCCAGTCTAGGCCAGAAAGTTATGGTGCTCCTGTCTAGTGATTGAGTGGATTGGGAGTGGTCACAGGCAGTGCCCACCACAAACACCTCCCTGTACATTCTGGGGACATCCTGAGAGACTGAGGCTATGTCTCCTGATCTAGAGAAGTGAAACTTTTGCTCCTTTTTCATAATTGTGCTAGAGGGTCTATTCCAGATTATAAGGAGCTGTGGAAATCTAGAGAAAGGAGGGCTTGACTTTAAGTAGGAGCACCATCCAAGCTTGCCAGTGACCCCACTGATATGTGCCATATTTGGAGTGTTCTTTGTATTGGTTGCTCCCAACTTTGGGAGGACCAAAGGGACCTTACAGGATAGCCTTTTATTTGACTGTATTAATTGAGCATCTACTATGTTCTAGCCATGTTCTAGGAGCTGGAAATAAGTCAGTGAACAAAATAAAAACAAAAACGCCGCTGTCCTCATGGAGTTTCCATTCCAGCTTTGGAGTCCTTTGCTGTAGTCACAGCTCCCTCTCAGGGGACTCTCAGAGTTGGCGATGGCCTCTGTGGTGCTCAAGCCTCTGTGTCTTGAGCACTGATGGGTATTTCCAGTGACTGGCTGCTGAGGATAGAGTGGAAACTGCTTGACAGTTTGTGATTATTTTTTTTTATTATTATATTAAAAAAAAAAGTACCAAATGGTTTCGGATTTTTCAAATCGTACATAGAACAATAAAGGTAGCCTATCTAGTCACCCTTATTGTGGCTATTTTAATCTTGTTTTGTTTTCAAGTTAGTGTCACTTTGTCAAGAAATTTAACTTAAAATAATTACTAACAGATGTTAAATTTATTCTAATTGTTTTTCGTTATTTGAAGAAAAATGTTCATACATGCGTGAGATTTTCCTTGCCTGGTAACTTGCTCCCAAGACCCTGTAATTTGTTTAATAGACTTTTATACAGAAAGAGATTACTTGCCTCATTAGATTGAGTCACTTAATAATGACTTGAAGGTTAACTAATGCGGCCATCAGACTCCTGCTCACCGGCTGGACGTCTATCATATCACTAACTTCAGTCATTTCCAAATGCAGATGAGTGGGAATATCATTAGAATATTAATGGAAAGAGAAACTGACATTCAAAATGTGAATGGCTAAAAACTGTCTCTAAAGATAATTTTAATTTTTAAGATACACTTTAATAGAAGCTTTTTTTTTTTTTTAATTGGGTGGCATTGTGACCTTCCCTTTATTGAAGGTGTTAAAGGAGCTTTTTAATCAGAGTGCAGCAAATGGCTGTTGTTTCTTCACATTGCTACCTGCCAGGCACCCAATTTCCAGCTGTGCCTGGTGTTCCAAAGATCAGAACGTCTGGAGTTCAAATAAAATCCCTCTCTTCTGCCAGTGGGTAAGCCATAGTCTGCTGTTCAGGGCGGAGATGGGGTAAACTGAGGGATCCTTTCAAAGGTGTCCAACCAACCTCTTTTTTTTTTTTTTTTAATCCCTTAAATCCCACACCTTACCTCTACCTTCAGAGGTATATGGAGCCTCTAATTTCTGGGCCTTTCTAGGTTCTGAAGTTCTAACCAGCTTGATTGTTTATTTCACCCTGGTGTGAGTAACATTTAAATTTTAGCATGCTTTTGTCTCTTATACTTCGCATTCTTCTGTTTGCTTACCAGAGTCCAAAATTTTGATACCTCTCATGTACTATTCTGTCATCTCTCACTCTTTCTGTCCTTATGTATTTATGCTCTTATTACCCTTTGCTGTGATTTTATTGGGATTTTGAGAGGAAAGGAGATAAATGTGTATTCATTCTGCCATGTTTTACTGGAAGCCCAGGATTTAACATGTATTATCAAGTGCATGCAACATACCAGGAATTGTGTTAGACACTTCTCTTTTCTCTAATTCAAAAATCCCTTCAAATTCTATTGAGGGTAGAATATTCATTCACATTAGTGCTACTCTCACCTGTTATTTTTTTAGCACCTTCTATGTGCTAGGCACTATCACATAAAGCATTTCATTCAATCATCACATCCACTCTAAGGCATATAGATATCATACCTCATTTTATTTTATTTATTTATTTTTAAGATTTTATTTTATTTATTTGACAGAGAGAGACACAGCGAGAGAGGGAACACAAGCAAGGGAAGTGGGAGAGGGAGAAGCAGGCTTCCCGCTGAGCAGAGAGCCCAATGTGGGGCTCGATCCCAGGACCTTGGGATCATGACCTGAGCCAAAGGCAGACGCTTAACGACTGAGCCACCCAGGTGCCCCTCATGCCTCATTTTAATGAATATGGAGACAAATTTTAAAGTCACAGGCCCAGTAAAAAGTAATGTTGGTTTTGAGATAGGCTTTTAAAATAAATATGCTTTCTGTATATCAACTATCTATTGGATATTAGATAGATAACCATTGTGGGGCTTTTTGTTTTTTGTTTTTTTGTTTAATGTAAGCTCTGCGCCCTATGTGGGGCTTGAACCCAATGACCCTAAGATCAAGAGTCACATGCTCTATTGACTGAGCCAACCAGGCACCTCAACCATTGTGGATTTTTAAGCAGGGGAACACAGAATAGGATGAAAATGCTGTTTTTGTTTAATATAGTGATAATATTAAAGATACATAGTTGACCTAAAAAGATAGGAGGCATCAGCTAGCACTTAAAGCAGTAATGAATGGCCTGCAGTGTTAAGGGCCTAGATTTGGGGGGAGAGAGCAGTAGGAAGCAGCATGAGGAAGGTAAGTAGGTTTAAGAAGCATGTGATGTGGGGGGGGGGTGCGTTTGAATCCATTCTCTTAAATGAGCTACTGTAACAAAGAACTTAGCCCTGAGTCTGGTACCCTCATTTCTGAATACGAATTAGTAGGCTTTGGTAACCAGCTTGACTGTGACATGAATAAGGAGTTAAAGGGAATGTCAAGTTTTCAAGTCAGATGAATAGGAGTGCCATATCTAGGACTGAGGTAAGGTGGGAAGAAGTGCAAGAGGAAATTAGTAAATTTGAACAACATATGTGAATGTCATGGTTTTTCGGAAATACGAACATCTGACATGTCTTCTGTATTCCTTTCTTTGTTTTTTGGCATTTATCTGAATGTCCTGTAATCATATCAGACACTATTACAGAAAGTTGACTTCATTCAGTCACATGATTTCTTGGTCAGTAATAGTATATACCCGTATTTTTAAGCTAATCTTTAGTATTTTTAAATCTTAATTTGAGGGCATTTTTTTTTTCCTGTTTGGAAGCAAGTACTCTGATTTCATTAGCACACAAAGTGTTTTTACAAGTCAATTCTAAAAGACCAGGAACCCGGTGTAAAAGACATAAATGGATAGATTAAATAAAGAGAAAAAAAGATCAATAGTCACCATAATTAAAGGCACACAAACAAAATATTATTATTATTTTTTTAATTTTATTTATTTATTTGACAGAGAGATAGACAGAAGAGCACAAGCAGAGGGAATGGCAGAGGGAGAGGGAGAAGCAGGCTCCGCACTGAGCAGGGAGGCCGATGCGGGACTCGACCCCAGGACCCTGGGATCATGACCTGAGCTGAAGGCAGACGCTCAACCATCCAAGCCACCCGGGCGCCCCAAAATATTATTTTTTTAATATTTTATTTAAATAAAAATTACTTAAAGATGTGTCAATCCGTGGTACAAACACACATTCTCAAATACTATTGATGGGAGGTGAGGGAGAGAGTATAAATCAGTGCAACCTTGGAGGGCAGCTTGGTGATATCTATCCAAAATGTAAATGCATATATCCCTTGACACGGCAATTCATCTTCTGCAAATTATCTCATAGACACACTTGCATAAGTGTGTCATGATATATGCCAAAGAATACCCATGGTGCATTGTTTGAAAATAGCATTAATTCTTCACTCGTAGAGGAGTTAAATGGATTAGGTAGTCCATTTCATAGAATATGGTATATTCTTTAAAAAGAGTGAGATAAAGCCAGATGTATGGGAAAATGTCCAAAGTATGTTTAGTTAAAAAAAAAAAAAGATGTAGAATAAGGTGTATGTTAAAGTTTGATTTATGTTAAAAATTATGTTTCTAAATGCATAAAATATTTCTGGAAATGTGCTCCAGAAGGATGTTCAGTTAACAGTAGTTACCTCTGGAGAGGCAACCAGGGATCGAAAGCAGAGGGAGAGCTTTGCTCTTGTAGTTTCATATTGTACACTGTTAGTTTTATTTTTTTTTATTTTTTATTTTTTATAGATTTTATTTATTTATTTGACAGCAAGCACAAGCAGGGGGAGCAGCAGAGGGAGAGGGAGAAGCAGGCTCCCCGAGGAGCAGGGAGCCCGATGCCTGGCTCAATCCCAGGACCCTG